GAAGATTTCTTTCCACAGAAGGGAAGCTGAAATTTTTAACAATAAGAAACTAGTAGAGCCAACTAAAGTTGAATGATAGGTTATTGTTAAATAACTTGACATGATATGGTTCAAGTTGTATTGTTCGAGATATAATTAGATGTGTAGACGTGAAAGGAATTATGATAAATCCTCATTGTGATGTGTTTCAAGAGTTAAAACAGAACAGACTCTACTCTCCCAATTAATCCTTGCTGAGTCAGGCATATCTACATCTAACCTCTTCAAAGATGATAGATTCTCTTTTCAAAGATGAAAGCTTTATTGGATTTCTACACAAGTCCAAGCAAAGAAAGCCTATGTTATCAAAGATAAAAATGGGGCATCAAGGTCATAATTTTGATTACGGCAAGAATTCCATAAATGAAACATTTCTTCTGAGACTTAAATCAAGCAAAGAAGACACAAAGAAGACATAATTTTGACCAAGTGAAGGAAGACCGAGTTCACCACTTTGAAATCAAATAAAAATGAACTTAATATTCATGCATCATATTTAGGCATTTGCAAAAATAGGTGCATTTCCATTCATTTTATCCATGTTGAATTTTGACAGGAATTTCAAAGATTTTAGCAAAGATTCAAATCCATCACAATGGATCAACATTTCCAGAAGGAGTTCATAATGAGAAGAACTCATCTGAAGAAGGAAGAAGAAGTTTATAATGAGAAGAGCTTGTTCAACCTTTTTCTCAAATCCGTCACTTGATGGATCAACATTTCCAGAGAAAGTTCATAATGAGAAGAACTCATCTGAAGAATGAAGAAGAAGTTCATAATGAGAAGAACTCATCTGAAGAATGAAGAAGAAGTTCATAATGAGAAGAGCTTGTTCAACCTTTTGCTCAAATCCATCACTTGATGGATCAACATTTCCAGAGAAAGTTCATAATGAGAAGAACTCATCTGAAGAAGGAAGAAGAAGTTCATAATAAGAAGAACTTGTTCAACCTTTTGCTTTAATTCATCACCCGATGGATCAACATTGCCAGGTCAAGTTCATAATAAGAAGAACTCATCTGAAGAAAGAAGAAGAAGTTCATAATGAGAAGAACTTGTTCAACTTTTTGTTTGAATTCATCATTCTATGGATCATTATTACCAGCTAGAGTTCATAATGAGAAAAACTCATCTGAAGAAGGAAGAAGAAGTTCATAATGAGAAGAACTTGTTCAACTTTTTGCTCGAATTCATCACTTGATGGATCAACTTTTCCAGAGAGAGTTCATAATGAGAAGAACTCATCTGAAGAAGGAAGAACTTGTTCAATCTTTTTCATGATTCTATCACAGAAGGAGATAGATCATCATCAACATTACCAGAAGTGTTCATAATGAGAAGAACTCATTTGAAAGAGAAGAATTTGTTCAACTATTTGCTAGATTGCATTATAGAATGAGATAAATTGTCATCCCCAGTGGAAAAGTTCATAATGAGAAGAACTAATCCCAAAGAAGAACTTGTTCAACATTTCCATCATAATCAAGTGAAGTCAAATGAAAAAAAACTTATTGTCTTTTCGTCTTTGCCCTATTCTCGTTAACACAAGAATGAACAAAGAGGGGCAGCTGAAGACACTAGTTTTTTTATTTCATTTATTTTATTTATTATTATTATTTTGTTTTAATATTATTATTATATTATTATTATTAAATAAATAATTTATTATTATTACATTTTTACATGCCCATTTACAAATCTTGAAGCCCAAAGAAATGCAAACCTAACCCGGTTGAGAAACCCTAACCCTTCTAAGGTTTCCCCAAGCTGCCAGCCGCCGTTGTGAAGATGAGCAGCCGCTTTATCCTTTGCTGCTAGGTGGTCCAACCGACGCTACCGACGTTTCCACTGCCAGGTGCTTCAACTACAACGCCGCCATCCTCAACAGCTGCCACGACGCCCGTCGAAGCCCCAGAAGAGTCATTCTAGCCGTCCACGCATCCCATTCTTCCGTGAGTCACCATAAGTTCGGTGACTCACCAAAGTTTACTCCTTTAACCAGTCTAAAGCCATCACCGTGGTGGCCTATAAAAATGGCCACCATACATGCGAAAAGAAAACAACAGAGAGCAACAGAGGAGCCGGAGAGAACAACCAACGCAGCAACAAAGAGAAGGACAACAACCCATCAAGCATACAACAATCAACAGACAGAAAGCAAGCAAAAACCTGAGAGCAAATACAAACCGAGAGAAAAGAAAAAAAAAACCGAGAGACTTACCACATAGCATAACTCTAAACGTCGTCGGAAAATCAAAAAAACCGAAGGTAGTTTTTTTTAAGATCTACGTAAATTCGGGGCTATTTAAAGGAAACGGAGGTCTAAATCGGTTTTAGGTATTACCGATCTATCTTTTGAGGGGGGTTTTTTCTTTTCCGGCCACCAGAGGCGGTGTCCGGCAGTGGTGGTCGGCACCGGAGCACGGTTGCCGACCGGAACTCTAATCCCTCCGATGAGGGATTTGAAGAGAGAGGCGAGAGAGAATGTTAAACTCTCTCAGTTTAGAGAGAGAAGAAGAAAGAACAAATGAGAAAATGGCCCTTAAGGCCGGCTATAACAGGGTTTAAATACCCTCACCAAAACGACGTAGTTTTGATGAGGGGCCTTTGTGTAATTTCACGCACGACTAAACTATTCCCGCAACCACTGTACCTTTAAAAACTTGCAATTTGATCATTATAGTATGTTTTTATTTATTATAATTTGGTTTTCCCATTTTAATTTATACTAGTTTATTCCTTTACAGTAAATATATATATTAGGCAAATATCCGATTTAGCCGTCATAATTTTATTAATAAATATTTTAAACCCCGAATTATATATTTTAATTTGTTTTAATTTAATGTGCTAATTTAATATAATTTTATTTTAGTCACCAAATTAATAAATGGGTAAAATAACATGTTTAATCCATGTAATTATAAATAATTAATTATGAATTAGGTATTTAATTTCATTAGTTTATAATTTAATCACTAATTTTTATAGTTCTCATTTTTTTACTATGAATTTTATATATGAATATAATTTAATTGCTTTAAATTTCAATTATTTGTTGTTTAAAAACTCTCAAATTTGTTGTCAATTAGATATTCATGATTAATTTGCCTTTAATGTTTCATTCTCCTTAATTACTTGTAATCTTAATGCTTATATCTTTGACTTTATTTTCCTTTTCATTTATTTATAATTGGTATCTTAAATTTACTTTCCATTTTATCCATTTTAAATCATAATATAAATTAATACCATTTGATTTTATTATATAATTATTTATTAAAATACAAATCTCTTTTAGTATTTATTCTATTCATTTACAATGATTGCTTTTCTTATATATGGTATTATTATATATAACGTTAAATGTGTTTATATTATAGTTTTAATTCTTATTTATTTTATTCATTATTAGATTGCAATTTATTTTATTTAATTAGTACCCTGTTAATTTCAATATATTTAAATTATTACTTTAATTATTATTTTATTATATTAGTCATATATATATATATATATATATATATTTGTTTAAATAATAAATATTTACTTATTTTTTATATATTAAGAAAGGGCAGTCTTAAAGCAACTGGATGTCCATTTATTGATATTTTTAAATAAATAAATATTTTACTTTTATAAATTATATCTATTTTTAATTATTTTAATTATTTTTAGATAAATATTTTATATTTATTTATTTATTTATTTATTTTATATCTATTTTTAATTATTTTAGTATTGAGAACAAGTGTTGATAATGCTCAATCCCACATAGTATTGGAAATACTATTGGGAATGGTATTTAAGGCTTGGCTTTCCCACTTCTTTGTTGAGTGATAGAGAACAAGGGGACTCTCGCGCGCCGCCGCCGCCGTCTCGTCTCGTCTCGTGGTCGTTGTGATTTTGGACTATCGCAACGAATTTGAAATAAATCGCAACGTGAACTTCGACTATCGCAACGAACTTGGAATAAATCGCAACGCGAACTTCGACTATCGCAACGAACTTGGAATAAATCGCAACGCGAACTTCGACTATCGCAACGAACTTGGAATAAATCGCAACGCGAACTTCGACTATCGCAACGAACTTGGAATAAATCGCAACGCGAACTTCGATTATTGCAACGAACTTGGACTATCGCAACGCGAACTTGGACTATCGCAACGAATTTGGAAAATAGTCGAAGTTCGCGTTGTGATAGTCGATGTTCGCGTTGCGAATCTGGAAACTGATTTGCGATACCGGAGATCGCGTTGCGAATTATCGATCGCATTGCGATTTAATTGGTCATTTTGGCAAATCCAAAAAAAATTGGTTAAAATCGTATATTATAAAGTATTTTTGGTCACTGAAATTATTTTCCCTGTACAAAATCCATAGCTTTTATTCTGGTTACTGTACATAGTTGTTGTTGATGTTTTTTCTACTTTACCTCACAGGGTTCGATACCAGTCGTTCCATCTAGGGTGCAATTGCTCGAGTATTTGCTGCTCGATCCAGTGCCAAAATTTCTACTCTGCGTTATAATCTTCACCCTTAATGGAAAGGAGACTTCTCCATTAGTGACTACTTTGACATCATTTCTTGTTTGGAACTCCTCCAGCCCCTGCTTATTATTACAATTGGCTACCAATTGGGTTCAACAACGGGTTTCTTTAAGCTGGGTGATAGTCCTAATTTTTCAATAGCTTCATTCATTTATTCTAGAAATAACAATTTAACTTGAAATAAGCGTCGATCTGACCTGATTTGAAAGGGTTGAATTTTTTAAAAGATAAAATATGTCAATAGTTTTTTTTGTTTTTTATCTGACTGACTTTAGTCAACGGTTTTTTAATTAAGTGAACTTAATCCCTTACGTTAACAATCCATTCTATTTTAGTCCATTGACCGTTAACTATATAATGGTCTTCTTCTTCTTAAATTTATTTAAGGGTAGACTTTTCCTCATTTTTGACACGATCACGGTGTATCCGTCTTCAGCCGTCGGCACTAATTCGGCTCCATAGTTGACATTCCATCCCACAACTCGGAGCTCCCAAACCAGAAGGTCTGCAAATTCAAGCAGCAAATATAGTTTCATATATTGAATTCATATTTACTAATTGTACAAATGTTTTCATCATACCTCAGTTATAGGGAATTCAATGGTGTGCTTGGTTGCTGGCTTGATTGTCACCTCTGTTACGACATCCACCACAGTGAACTCTTGTTCACCTTCTCAGCTCAGTCCACCATATTGAACCGGTACTTGTTCAGGAGCAATATATCTATTTTTCTATCAAAAGAAATGAGCAATATATCCATGTATGATCAAACAAGCAAATTAAAAGAAGAAAATGATTGGAAATCCACCGACTTGAAGAGGGTTTCAGCAGATTTGGATGGGACCTGCACATACAAACTTGCTCTTGGTTCTCTGAGTCAAAAGGACTGATCATCCTATTGAAAGCCAAGTACAACCATGGAACATCGATGAACACCTTCAAATTCCAAAACCCATCATCGATGCTGGTTCAAATTTAGCAAGAAATTATAGAACATATATACGGAGTTGAATCATACTTGTTTGGCCACAAATTCTGGATAGTTATCCTGCAGCAAGTTGAGGGCTTGGTTAGTGGCTTGTCTAAGCTCTTTTTTGTCTGGTCCAGGTGAATTCTTGAGATCGTTCACTTGAACGATTGTGTTGATACCATTAGGAGTGAAATCAAGTTTACGAATGCTCTTTTCCAAGAACTGAATCCTCCATCTCAAGAACTTGGTTCGTTATTCTAATAAAACACCAATATTAAACAAATCTGTGCTATTAGGCCAAACCCTAAACAAGTCTATTCCATGAAAAGCACAATGCCTAGCTGTTTTCATCGAGGAATCAATGAAAGACTTCCTTATAAAAGATGATGAGACCACTGAAGTCATTAACCTTTTCACTAGATATAAGTTTCCCAGTTGCAGATATCCCATTCTAGACGAATAACAGTGCTTTAACGGATGGGTTTCTTCGTTTGACAATGATTGTAAAAGTTGAGAAATATTATTCAGAGGCAGAGAGGATAAAGAGCTTCTAATTTGAGCCGTTCAATTCAGTAAAGACACATGAAAGATGAGTGAAAAAAAAAGAACAAGCAGAATTTAGCGTACCAGTAACCAGTTTCAATCCAAGTTTGTGCACCAGAGAAGTGGAATTGAGAGGAAAGGAAGAAGAAGATAGCTGGAAAGAAAGGAAGACGCGTGGGTTTTTTTTTAATTGTCAACTCAGACTCCAGGTTAACAGAAGTTAATGGTCGAGGGACCTGAACTTCGATCAGAACGAAAATAAAAGGGACCACTGACATAGTTTATTTTTTTAAAAAAAATTGAGTTTATGTTAGTTCGGATCGAATTTTTTAAAGGATTAAGGTCGGGTTTGGGTGGATTGTGAAAAAAACACCAACCTGACATAACCGGCAAATAATAATATAATTATATTTTAAATTATTATTATTTTTTATTTAAGTTATTATGTTATATAGGGTCGGATCGGAGTCAAGTTGCGGATACATATTATATATTGGTATATTCAATCACACGGTGAGATAGTGTAAGTTCTTGTAATGTTAGCAGTAACATTTTAACAATTATAATATTATAAACAATGATTGATATCAAACATTGTATAATTGCTACCTAAGTTACAAGAAGTCATGATTTGACATGACACTTCTTTGATTCACCTTTCATGTATATAATTTTTCCTTCATATTTAGATTCGATACAAGTTATGAAATAGTCACACTTGTATAATTCATCTAATGTTATTTGATATGGTGAGTAAACTATGATAAGTATGATATCTACTATCAATTGATTTGAACACAATCATATATTTCTAGTCTTAATCAATTGGCTAATGATATTGCTCTTATTACGTATGAGAGACAAACTTATATTCATTAATCATATCCCACTACATAGATTGCTCAAGTCTTTATGTTACAACTTGTTATGATTAGGGGTGTTCACTATTTGATTTTAATTAACCAACCAAACTGAATTAGTTTGATCGAGGAACGATTAATGTTTTTTTAATATTCAGTTAACGGTTAATTCGGTTCAAAATCTGTTAATTAACTGAAATTATTAAATATTATATATATATTATAAACATATTTTAAGCTCAATCTCTTTAAAAATTAATACCTGATTATTTTTTTAATCATACTAGACTCATTAAGTTATCAATACCTAATTAGATTTTAACTCAAATAAAAAATATACATCTATTATATTTAAATTAATCTAATTATAAAACATTATTAAAAAATCGATTAATTCGGTTAACCGACCGAAATAACCGAACTTTGTTTGGTTTGGTTAATATTTTCAAAAAAAAAGTCTGGTTTGATTAACGGTTAAAGAAAAAAATCAGTTAATTCGATTAATAGTAATTATGCTCGGTCGGTGGCCGAATTAACTGTTTGAATACCCTAGTTATATAATTTAATTGGTCTATATGTCTTCTGTATGAAATCGTTGTTTTGCAAGATTGGAAAATCAATAGACTTATGGTTACTTTTTGAATGAAATCCAAGTGTTTTCGGTCTATAAGTCTTCTGAAATCACGATTGACTATCTTTTAATATGCTCTTTTTAATGAAGATAACGTTTGCAAAAATTCATATTCAAAATCAATACGTGATTTTATAATAATTACGAAATTTTAATATTTTTATTGATTATTTGTAATTTAAATTAATATAGGATTATGAATTATATATTAGGATTACATTTATTATTTTTTATTATTTTACTAGGAGTTTAAATTATTAGGAGACAAGATAATATCAACGCTATCTTGTACAAATTTAATTAGAGTAGAATAATATTCTATATTATTTATTTTATTAGTAATTCATCGTTATTTGTATTAATAAGTAATAATTATTAAAAATTATCATTCCTTAAATCTTAATACTTTAATTAGTTTTTACAACATAATTATTTTTAATTAATTTTAAAATTTAAAATTAATTTAGTTAAAGAAGATAAACTATTAAAAAAAATCAAATGTTCCATAATGAGTTAATCGGATATCATATAAGTTAAAAATTACTAAATTGTTTGTACTTTGAATTATAATTAATATTGTAATGATATTTGTGTATTTTATAGTTCTGTATAATCTTTAAATAACTAATTAAAAATTACACTTTTAAAGATTAAACTCACATTTAATAGCATCTATATATGAATTCTATAGCACTCCGCCAATAGTTATTTTTTATAAAATTTTACAAAATATAACCATTTTATAAAATAAATATTATCCATACACATATGCGTTTCACGAGTTAACCGACACCAACTCAGTTGGAAATTGCTTGAAAGATGACATGGGTAGGTATCGAAACTTGAAAGATGACATTCATACCTTTTAGAGGATATCAAAATCCTAGTTATTTTTCAATACACCGAAACTAAAAGATACATCAATACTAAGAAAGGGTGTCGATATTTAGGTTATGGTATTAATATCATAGGAGGTATCGGTACTTTGAGTCCTAATAATAATTTTACATTGGATAAATAATACAAATGGTTATTATTGTTTCAAAAGTAATAAATCAATCATTAGTGTTATCAATTTGTATCAAATCGATCACTTTTCATTTAACAACAGTTATTGTGGGTGACATAAAACTGATGTGACACGTTAATTGTTGATTTAACACGTTAATTGTTGATTTGACACATAAATCATTTGATTTGTCGTTTGACTCGTCTCTAACCCCATTCCCCTCTCTCTCTCTTTTCTTATTGTGAACAAACTCGTCATGATGGCAAACTCTTCCACTAAGAGATCTATTAGTACCATTTGGCTTTTTTAGATGCTTGATTGTATTATTTCAACAATGTGGTCTTTGATAATGAAACCTTTTCCCATTAACTTACTCAAGAAAAGAGATAGGAATGGGGTTAGAGAGTAGTCAAATGGCGGTCAACGTGTCAGATCAGCAGTTGATGCATCACGTTAGTTTTATGTTATCCATGTAACAGTTATTAACGACGAGTGGTTGATTTGTTACAGATCGATAACATTATTGGTTGATGTGTAACTTTTGAAACTCTAGTGGGGGAAAAAAATTTACTCAAACATCAATGATCTTTTGTGTAGTTTACCCTTTCAAATTTGATAAATAAATATTTTATATTAGTGTAAAATCATTATAAGTAACAAAATCATGTTCCCTTAAATTTTGAACCTACAAAATAGGTGAACAAAGAACAAACAATATTTGATATGAAAACTCATGCTTCATATATTAGTGAAAACATGTCAAACTTATTTGGTTTTAACTCAAAAATTTATTGTAATGAATCATAATTTTAAGACATATTTTTAGTATTTGCAACTCTTGAAAAATATTATAAATATACGTCCAACAAATTATTTAGAAATAGAATTTCATTTCTCAAATGATTTTAACCAAGATTTAAAACACATATTTTTTAGATTTAAAACACATATTTTTGAAGTTTAAAATATTTTGAAAATGTTCCCAAAAATATTTTGTAGAAGTTTCATAAATAACTTTAAAAAAATAAATATAAAAATTATCTTAAATGTTTGTATATCCTTATTAAATAAGACTTAACAAAATCATAGAATCTCTATAAGGATTCCATAAAAGTTGATTTCATGGTCAAAGACTATTGAAGGAGGGATTGATATCACCCTCATTAGGTTAAAAAATTATGGTCACAAAGCAAGAATATCGTATTCTTATTTTTTTAATAGTATGAAGTGAGTCCAGACGCACATACTCTACAAATATAGCTATTCGAACCTATATCATTTAAGAAAACTAATATCTTTTATCATCGAAATCACTCAATGTGTTCACAAAGTATGAACTTATAGTTCTAATTAAAGATGACTTGTTAAAAAAGAACCTTATATATATATATATATATATATATATATAATATTTGTTTCTGAAATTAAGATGGAAAAGAAGAAGAAGAAAAACTTGTTAAATCCAGTGAAAGTCTGTACCTGTCAAAACGATTAAATTTCTTCACTGTACAGCATAATTCCTTAATTGTAACGTTAAGGATCGTGACCGAGTCGAAGCTCCAAATCTATTTCATCTTCTTTCATGATTCCCCTCATCATCATTTCATTGTCATCGACGATTGTAGTTCCGATTCGTAACCTCAAATTGGGACCCAAAAGCTCTTCATTGATGCTGAAAGATTGCGGCCTGGCATATGCAAGAAAATCACGGTCATAATAACCATATGGGATTCTAGGGTTAGATACTTGTGCTTGAAGATTCACGGGACCATTTTCATGAGTTGGGATTGTTGGAACGTATCTAGGGTTCATGGACTCCTCATTCATCGGTCGAATCGGAACCGTAGAGCTCGTCTGTTTCCTAGCCTTGGCTCGATCTTTCCGATGTATGTTCATGTGCCCTCCCAAGGCCTGACCGTTGGTGAAACCTCGTTTGCAGAAGGTGCACTTGTAGGAGCGTTTGGCGGTCGCCGTCGCCGTGTCTTTGCCGACACGGTCGTTTTCTTCGATCGGGGCATCGGGGCTTCCTTGCTTTCCGACTGATTCCATCCTCAAACGAACGATAGCTTTGCTACCCTAATTACAATAAGAAGAAAGGGGACGTAGGACAATTAGAAGAAATTGGGTTTGCCATTGTATAAGTAAAGACTAGATTTTTGGCGTTTGCGTTTGGAGTTTTCCTTTTCGGCTTTATTATGATGGCTCCAATTGCTGTATTTTACTCTGTAATATAATTTATTCTCTTCCTCACATGTACTCTCACAAAGAGACAATTTGATTTACTAAACGAGCATGCTTATGTTCTTTTCACCCATGGTTTCTCACTTAGGTATTCTCTTTCGCTCTAAACAACATTAAACACTAATGTATTGGTCGAGATGTTAGTAGGGGAAAAAAATTCACAATTCTCTTTGAAATTTGTCAAATATCTTTTTAATATATTCAAAATTTTAAAATATAATTTTTTATTAGCGTTGGGTAAATACAAAACAGTATATGTTTAAAATATTTTCAATCATTTGACAATAAACGTTCATATACCTCTACAAACGTCGTACTCCATTTGACAATAAACGTTCATATACCTCTACAAGCGTCGTACTCAAGCCCAAGATAACAGGACATGGTACCATTAAGATATTTATTGACTAAAGTGTTTTCTTTTAAGTGAAAATGTTGGGGAAAATACCATAAACCCTAGATTGGAAGGATTCGTATATGACCTTATGGCATGCATGCTTCATTTTATCAAGAAAAAAAGGGTTTCATCGAGGCTTATGTCTTATTATAGCCACAACCTTAATCTGATTTGAACTCAAGACGTTATTTAAGTGATATCAAATTGTTTATCACTTTATTTTACCACTAGTTGATGATAACCATTTTTAATTATTTAGATTTGAATTCTAACAATACTGTTTGTCTATTCAGTGTATGCTAATTGGAGAGAATTTATTCAATTAATAAAAACTATTTGCTTCGTTTTTTCTCTTGTCATTAATCTACTTATAACTAACTTCGGAGTAGCTATCAACTTTCATATTTACATAAGAAAATGGAAATTTCTCTTTGAAAATTTGATATGAAAAAAAAAATAATAAAGTTGATGGTTTTTATTATTTGAGATCATAAATCATGTGATGAGTACGGGTGGATAGCTCGATTTGAAAATTCAATTTTTTTATTTGAATTGATTTGAAAAAAAAATTCGAGTGGATAAGTAGGGGTGAGCAATTTGATTTGAAAACTCAATTTTTTTGACTTGACTTGAGTCGAGCTGAGTCCCTCAACTCTGTATAATCTATGTCTATTGTATATGAAAAATATGAAGAAATATATATGTACACGTATATGATTATAGAAATATGTTTAAATTAAAACCAATTAGTATTATAACATTATAAATATTTTCAATTAAATTTAAACATAAACTCTAATAATTCGACTCAAAAAATTTTAAATAAAGTTTGAGTTATAAAAAATGACTTCTCAACTCGACTAACTTAGAATTCTTTGACTTAATTCAACTACATTGAATACTTACCCCTAATAGTAAAGAAAATTAATATAACTACTTTTTTCTTGTTGGAGGGTTATGGATAATATTGAGACTAAAATGGGTCTTAAGAACGCGTTCAAGATTAATTATTGACCCTTACCCTTAAAACATATGGTTTTATATTTCTTTTTCAAGTTTAAAAGGGATATACTTGATCAAATGTAATTGTAATTATAAATTAATTAAGAGGTTAGTTGATGTACAAATGGAAGATAGGCGTGAATGACAACAGCGCAAGCGCTGTATTAATTTCTTGCGCAGTGCCAGTTCATTTCGCTTCACTTGGAGTTTTTCTACTCTGTGATATTCGCTGTTGTCTGGGCTGTTCATCGACGACCATCTTATTATTCGTGGGTGGGCCAAAATATCCTCATAAATCTTTCATACCACCATATCCATAGCTAAGTTCATTATGGGAATCTTGAAGGAATTGATTTTTTGCAAATATTAATTGAACTTTATGCGACGGCATGGAGCCATGGATAATTAGTGTATTTTTGGTATTAAAATTAGAGACCAAATGGTTAAACTTAGAGGTATATTTGTAGAAGGAAGAAATTGGGGGGACCAAGAAAGTAAATTACCCGTTGCAAGAAAAAAATTCTGATTTGAATGGCTTATTCGTGGGTTTGATTATATAGGGGACATGGTGACCTCACTCCCTTAATTTCCAAAACTTATCCATTTCCCTTCTTCCTTCTTCCTTTCCTCACCAATCACCATTATTGGCTTTTGGTGTTGAGATAAGCATCTTCTTCTTCATGCCATGAGCTTCATTTGGAGATGCAAATCTCCATAGAAAGGGGTTGATGGTTGAGTTAGGGTTTTATAGGGGGTTTGATTAGAAGTGGGATTCATTGAGGTTTTGGGAGTTTTGGGCTTTCACCCTTTAGATGTGTTGTAATCCTTTCCATTGCTTATATGTTTAGTGAAAGGAGAAAATCATCCCAAGCTAAAGGTAAAGAAAAGCTTGAAGTAGGGTCAATGAGCCTTCTTTTTGGTTTTTTTTTTTTTGGCTAAGATAATGCATTTATATTCTTTGTACATTCATATGAACCGTAAATGTATATGAGCTTGCACATTCATGTGAACTATAAATGTAAGAGCTTGTAGGTTAAAATGCATGTTTGGTGTGTTAAATGGCAAGGTGCATAAATTGTCTTATATTTGATAATTTTGACATTAAAAGTTGTTATAATTGTCGAATATTGATGCATTGCATGGGATCTCCTAGTGGCCTTAAGTATTGATTTAGGGATCATATGGATGGATTAGAGCCAATATAAAGTGAATTTTCGAGCCCAAGGAGATAAAAACTGCCCTTTAATATAAATATTGTTCTAGCTGTATCGATATCCTTTGAATATTAAGAATAAATATGAGTTTTTAAGTAATGAGTATTGATTCCAATTCATTTGATATTGGTATCGTTCATATGGTATCAATATCATAGGGTGAGTATCGATACTGGACAAACTTTGAATAATTTTCTAATATTGGTATCTGTACAAGAATTTTACAACACTAAGTATCAATATGCATATCGGTACCAATAACACTTTGAAGCCATTAGGATGCTTTGATGTTTGAATAAATTCGGGAATGATTTTAACGGTTCATAACTAGCTTTAAGACTTTGATAATAAACATTTTCATAACCTGTTAAATAAAGATAAACCAACAATTTAGTATTACATTTTCATATATGATTTAGTGTCTTTCGATGCTAAATGCATATTGATACTTAGTGTTATAAAATTCTTGTTCCATGATGCTTGATCCAGGTTATGTGGCCCAGATTAGTGGCTAACAAGATCCTTGGAAAGAGATTAGGAAGCAACAGCTTTATCGCATATTTTCCCAGAAAAAAGAAAATATTCAAAGCTTGGATAAGCCATCGTTGAATACCAACACTATAATTATTTTTTGATCTTGGTTGTTTCACTAGGAATATTCATACAATGATAATTAGTGTCATCGTCTTCATCTTCTTTTCCAGTTCTCAAGAAATTGTACCCCATAGCGCATCCAACGTGTTGGGATCAGAAAATATCAAGAAATATAATTCCTTGATTAGACGGGCTTTGATCAACACCACCACACAGAAATAACATTTCAACAAAGAAGGAAAGCTATCAAATGATGAAAAGAGCAATAGGCCCAATTATTTTTCAGATATTCAAATAATCTAAAATCGAGATTTTTCTGATTATTATACAATCCGATTATTCAATTTTTTATCGGATTTTCTATTCAAATTATTCGAATAAACATATCATCAAATAAACATATCGAATATTTTGCACATCCCTAACTGTGAACACCCGAGTTACCTTACCTAGAGCACTACTAGAAAAAAACCATTTTAATGACGAGCATTGCGCGTCATTTATGGGTGCAGATGACACACAAATACGCGTCATTGAAGCCACCGTCATAAATCTCAGATGACACGTAATTGTGTGTCATAAATCTATGACGTGCATTTATGACACGCATTTATGACTTACATTTATGACTTACATTGCGTGTCATTGAAGTACACGTCATTAAAAAAGATGACACACATTCGTGTGTCGTGATTGTATGTCGTAAATTATATATATATATATATATATATATATATATATATATATTGTAGATTGACAAATAATCAAACTAAATCACGTTTAATGCCTCATAATACTAAATATATATATAATATTATATATAAGCAATCCATTTGCATACAATATATTAACATTAAGTTATCAAAAATATTGTAATCATATGTCGATACAAAATATCACGTCATAATAAAGTTTGCCACATAAGATACCCATTCTTTGCGAATATCATCAATGCTATCATCCGTGTATTCTTCTTTCCCATCGCCAACTTAAGTAAAAAATATGAAATAAGTATATAATTTATACTTATTTAAAGTGAAGTATATAACTATCAAAGAGTACTAAAATGACCAATTTTACATATGCATTATTTGAAGCATATGTAAAAAAATTTTACACATTTAATTAGTAAAACTTCCCATATAAATTATATACATTATCACGATACGAATTCACAGTTTTCAGTCTTGCTAACAAGTACTTGCATTAATTTGTTTAGAATAGCATCCTACTTCAAGTCCATATGATAGTTGTATGACTAATGTGTAGGTATGATATGACAGATCTCCTTAAATGAATTCAACAATAGTCCTAGTTCACATAAAATTAGTTACTGGTCCCTGCTCGGATTAGCCATAAACTGTACTATCTATGTTGCACAAAGAATATTTGAAACCAAAGCCTATGTTTCTCCACCAAATGCATCTAATGTCTAGGTGAGTAGCACTGACTTTACCTTGCAACAGATGCTAGTTTAAACCCATAGTACTACAGCTTTATTTTCCTGCAACCCTCAGTTACAACAACTACCCACGTGGTAACTACAGTAAAAACACCTAATACAACAAGCATGTACGTCCACCAACTAAAGGCACTTCCTG